TAATGCAGCAAATAAATTGATGCAGTTACCTGCATAAAAGATAACTTATATAAGATACCATACAATACTATACAATACTACAATACAATACAATACAAAAGCTAATTAAACGATTATAATGAATAAAAATTAACATATTTAACCTGTATAAAGCCAACTGATATAAGATACTATACAATACAAAACAATACCATAATACGATACGATACAGTAGATACTATACAATACTATACAATAGAAATATAAAATACATTCAGTGTTGGTAACACAAATATACATTTAAAATTGTCATGACACTTGTGATCCTTATGCAGCAAATAAATTGATGCAGACAGTTAAATGTGTTACTATACATTTGCAAAGGATGAAATATAGACTTAAGTATGCCACAAATTATGAACATATATTATACCGTGAAAAAACACAAAATACATTCAATGTTGGTATAAATACAATGGATATATTTAAAACAATGGATAATGGTTGGATATATTATACAATGAAAATCTCTAGCGACCCCAATACATTCAGTGTTATTATTACACAGAGAATTAAATGTATGATATTACATGGGCAATTGATGAAAAGAAGACAGTAACAGTATAATGTATAGCCAAATATGCAAGTATATGGTATACCGATGTTTAACAGCAACTGGCAAACAATGTACCATTAATACGCCCAACTAGATATGCCAAGATATTATATACTATTATACAGTGAAAAACGCAAAATACGTTCAATGTAGATATTATCATAGTGCATTATGAGGGAATACAGACAGTTATATGTTTGATAATACATGGGCAAAAGATAAAAATAAAGACAATAACATTATTATTCATAGGTAAATATGCAGATTTAATATATTCAGATATTTAACAGCACCTGGTAAAAAATGTACCATAAGTACATTGATAGCTGCTATGGACAACAAAGAGACTATTAGGACAATACATATGCAACAGATAAATATGCAAATTCAATATATACAGATATTTAACAGCACTTGATAATAAATGTGCATATGCAAAAGATAACATTATTATTCATCGGTAAATAGGCAAATGCAAGATATACAGATACTAAACAGCACCTGGTATTAAATGTACCATAGGTACAAGGACAGCTGTTATAGACAATATTACCTGGTTGCACTTAGAAAAAGATGCTGAGAGAGAATATACAAATATTTGACTGCTGCTATACACAGCGACTTATAACAGATGGATTACAATAGATTACAATGGTTACAAACACTTCAGAGCATAAAAGTAGATGGGTTATAATATATACAAGCAGTTGAAGAAGTTGAATCATATGTCGATATTATAAGGCACAAAGATCAAGTCCCAGATTCATCAGTTTGTCAATTAAACGGACTATCTTTTTGACTTGATGCCGTTGCTTAATCAAAAAACGACTAAAGGCAGTCCTATCCGTTGGTGGAAAAGGAATATGGAATTCAGTAGTAAGTGGACAATCGATTAGATAGTGTTCTGGATTGCCCAGTTGTCCACAACTACAGAGTGCTGAGGAAGAGAGTCCATGTCCATGTCTCTCGAAATATAAGGGAAAAGGCCCGTGGCCCGTAATGTAGAAGATCAGCTGTGGTGGCATGATTAATCGGTCTAAATCTACTTTAGGGACATGGGCAAATGCTCGGCGACCAGTTTCCTCCGAACTCCATGCATTTTGCCACAAGGAGATGGCTGTGAGAAGTAAGTGACGCTTTAGATTAGATACTGGGCGTGAAACCGTCAAGGTCTGTGTTATCTCGTGATTCTGTGCTGCTTCTTTAGCAAGCCTATCGACAGTTTCATTACCGTAGTTCCCCACATGAGCTTTTGTCCATTCTAAACAAATGTGTAGATTTTTATGTCGAGACAAGCTAGTTTGAATGTCCACAATAATGGGGGATGAATGCAGAGGATTTAAAATGGCATACAATGTGGAGAGACTATCGGTAAGAACATAGGAATGTGAATATCGATGATTAATGATTGTTTGTATTGCTTGTCGAATAGCAATAGCCTCACTCTGGAAGACGCTGTTAAAAGAAGACAGATGGCATTTCCACTGGTGAAGAGTTGTCTGATCTTGCAGTATGGCTATATATGCACAGCCAACCTGATCTTCCAATTTAGAGCCATCAGTATAAAAGACCAGATCAGCATGAGAAACTTGATGACTCGGTTTGAGATTAACTTTAACTCCCGTACCATAGAGGGAGGGGTGTTGATCTTCTCTGTTTATTGCTGCTTCATAATCATGGGAGGAGAAAGAGTGATCTCCAAACTGAACTGAACAGCCAAGTTGTCTAATCAACTGATAAGCTGCGTCCTTTTCAACCGCAATAGGTAAAGGCAAGACTCCAGCTGCAACTGCGAGGGCGTTAGTTGGTGATGTGCGGAAGGCACGAGTGATATTTAAGAGAAATGGTCTCTGTATACTATTTAAATGTCGGACTTTGCGTCCTTGCATTGGTGCTGCCCAAATTGCAGCACCATATGAAACAATCTTTTCAGTTACTGTTGCATATAAAACTTTAAGAAGATGTGGATTTAAGCCCCAGTGGATTCCCTTCATAAGTTTAAGGCGTTGAGCAATCACAGCAGTACGCTTCTTGAGATCTAACACATGGGGAATCCAATTGAGTTTGTCGTCGAAAATAATTCCAAGGTATTTAAGTTCACGTTTAATACGAAGACGCTTGCCATTTATGGTTATTCTCGGCTGACGAGTCATAGAACCACCCTTCTTAGGAATGATCAGAATTTGCGATTTCTCTTCAGAGATTTGCAATTTAAAATCTTCACATCTAGTCTGAAACAAAGAACAGGTCTCCTGTGAGTTTGCTTGAAGTTGATCACGAGTCCTACCTCGCACTATGAATGCGGTATCATCGGCATAAGTAACCACAGTTGTATGTTCAGGCCATGGCTGCTTAAGGATAAGATTGTATGTCACATTCCAGAGAAAGGGGCTCGCACATGAACCCTGCGGGCACCCTCGAGTCTGACATCTATGTACCAGGCCTCCATTATAGGAAATGATCAAATGTCGATCGGACAGATAATGTGCAAGAGTATTATATAAATTGCGGGGGCAATTGGCATCTCTTAATGCATATAGAACTGCCGGCCACCACAACGTATCGAAGGCGCTCTTTTAAATCCACTGAGATAAACGCTGTGTGGTGGCCGGAGAACTTATTGCGCAGGATGGTATCTTGAACTTCCTTTAAAGCGTGCAGTGTTGATCTTTTGGTGCGAAAACCGTATTGAAAAGGACACAGATAATTTGTTGAGTGCAAATGAAATCTCAATCGTCCCATAAGAAGTTTTTCAAAAGTTTTGCCAAAAGCTGACAACAAACAAATAGGGCGATAAGAATCGGCACGGGCTGGATCACGGTGTTTCTTTAAAAATAAGATCACCTGGCCAATTTTAAAACATTGAGGAAAAGTTCCACTATTGAATAGCTTATTAAACAGGCTTTGGAAGAGACTGAGATTGGTGCTAATAATCAATTTGACAATACGATAGTCAACACCATCTGGACCCGGTGCGCGCTTATTAGGGAGTTGGCGTAAGACTTGCCGAATTTCTTGAGTAGTAAAAATAACATCGTCTGGTGTTTGAAGACTAGAAGTTTGATTTCGAATAGTCTGATGAAAGGAGGAATCAGTTGAATTATCATCTGTAGAAAAAACCGTATCAAGGACTTCTGATAGAGTTGATTCAGTCAGGTGACTATTAGGACTAACTGTAGGTAAAAGATGGAAAGTTGCTGGCTTAAACAGCTTGTCGGTCGCAATCTTATGATGAATACCATAAACAGATGTTGTCTCAGAACAAAATTTGCGCCAGCTAGTTAATTTGGCACGTATAATCATTTGTTTGTAACATGCTCTTTCCTGTCGGTAAAGAAGGCAGAGTATTGGAGCTGATATTATTTCGACGCTCTTGCTTTAGCCGACGTCGAAGAGCTCTACATTTTTGTTGTTGAGTACGAAGCTGAGCATTCCACCAATTTAATGTACATAACTTCTTAGTGGTACGAATAGGCAAAACACTATCACATATTATTCGAATGGTAGCCATAAGATCACTAGTAAAATTTTGTAGATCTTCACGAGAATGATAAGAGGCCAAATTGGCTTGAGTGGTGCAGTAAACTGTCTGACCTTTCGGCCAGGTAAATTATAACGCCGTATGATTGAGGTGGCTGTAGTTCCCGCGAGTGAAAAAACTATATAGTTATGGTCTGAAAGACTTAGACCCTCAATTACTCGCCAATCTTGAAGAAGAGAGGCCATAGGCAAAGTAGACAAAGTCAAATCTGGCCAACCATGTGAATGTTGACGATCAAAAGTCGGAGGAGCATCATGTGAATTATGTTTCACGAGAGATTAAAACTGGATATAAAATCTTCCAGAAGTCTACCCTTTACGTCCGTAGTAGCATATCCCCACGAAACATTATGAGCATTAAAATCACCAGAAAAGAGCAAATTTGGAATTTGAATTGAGGTCAGTAAATCTTGCATCGCAGAGAGCACAGGTTCGATTTCTGAGGACGGTGAGGAATAAATGGAAACCAGAAGGACTGTCAGATGATGAACTTCCAGAGAAACAGCAACAATATCTCGCTGCGCAGTGACAAGTAAAGGAGACCAGGAAGAAGAATTACAATTGACAATAATTGCACGGGGTGGAAGTAAAGGATCTTCCTTTTGATATAGTGTCCAGTGCAGTGGAAAGCCCAACCGCCTTACCATTTAGACAATACGGCTCCTGGATTAAGATGAAGTCAATATGTTCAGAAGTAGCATATTCTACAGTCTGTGCCGTCGCAGCTCGAGCATGTTGAAGGTTTATTTGTAGACATTCCGTCGGTAAAGTTCGTTGCAGAAGAGTGGTATTAAGATCTTTTTGTATATGATCCAATGAAGAATCAGATACTAAGTTACCTGATGCTAGACTATAAGGATTGAAGTTAGTAGTCTGTGTTTGCCCCGATGAGCTGGACGCGACGTTGATACTCTGGACAATCGCGGTGGTAGGCGGGATGGGCGAAGTCATATCTGGTACCGTAACGATTATTGGCTTCGCCACAGTTGATGCATTCAAGTGTTTGAGCTGTGCAATCTTTGAGCCCGTGATCTCCTGCACAGTAGGAGCAGTATTTTCGCTTACTCTTGCATTCTGTTTGCACATGGCCATATTGCTGACAGGAGTAACATCTTTTAATTCCAATAAATTCAGTGGCTCTGTGAGCTTGCCAGCCGACGAAAATTTTTCGCCGACGCATGACCGCAGCAAAACCTGGGGAGTCACATTCAACAATCCATTTAATGTATCCCTTCCGTCGCTCCCTGAGACGGAATCGCATCGTGAATGCTGTTTCTGGCAATCCCGTGGCTCCGCTGAGTTCTGAAAGTACTGTTTGCGGTGTGATTGATTCCGGCAAGTCATGGATAGCAATTCTTGGTTTTCGTCTGATTGGTCTACTGACATCTGCTGGTACATCAGAGCGCGTGAGTTCTTGTTCGAGTATCGCAACATCATCAGGTGTTTGACAGAAGACCTCCAAACCTCCGTTATTTATTTTAGTAATACGATCTATTCCAACTTTAAGTTGTGAGAGCGGAACTTTGGTATTAAGCTGTTCTTTAAGCGTATCACTAGTAGTGTCAGCTTTAGGACGAATAATAAGGCTAGGCTTTTTGGGTCGTCGAACAATATCCGCAAAAGATGGAGCAGGAGCCAAAGCCTGATCAGCTGTAGATGGGGAGAACAGGAGAACAGGTGACTGGAAAGAATGTTGTCGAACCGCTTCACAGCAAAGTATGGTAGATGTATTGACTTCAGCGTCCACCAATTCTGGAATAAGTAAGCCCTCAGGCCCCTGTAAGGCCAAAGTTTGCAAAGTTGTCAGAGATTGTAAACAGATGCTCTCGAAGGTCCGAAGATAAGAGGATTCTGCCACCTCTGCTGGTGGTAGCTACTTTGCGTATATCAGCACAGAGTAGTGTAATTTTATCCGCATAAGGTAAGTCAGAGTCTAACAAATCGGGTGCGCTAGTAGCCCCCTGTGATGTTTCTTTGGCAGTTGTTAAAATAGATTTACGGGACATTATAAAGTATTAAAGAGCAGTAACAAAACATAGACTAAAAGTGCAATGTCCAAAAGTCACTAAGAACGATCAGATTAAAATGTCTATGTGACACGTGATAACAGAGAAATAATACAAACAAAATTCCTGTATAACTAATCAATGTACACAAAGTAATGTTTAGACAGCAGAATGACTAACATTTTATCTGACTCAAATACATATCGAGGTATATTATCAGCAGTTATAATAGCAAGACACTAAATATAGGTAGAGATTATAGATTTCAATCTTCACAATATCAAACAACTAAGTCCAGTAAATTAATTAAATTACATAAAAAAAAAACCCATAAAATAAAGTGAAACAATGCTTAAGGAATATTATAAGACAGTTGAGAGATCAAGAAATATACGTTAAAACACTATTTTAATCAATACAAATGTCAAAAAACGAAAACCGAACACTTGTCGAGTGAGATTCGACAATAGTCTAATGACGAGAACTGGATCTCGACAAAAAGTTCAACTTCTCGACAATGTTAAAAATTTCGCGAAAAACAACTGCCAAAAGGACAAACCCCTTTGGAGCAAATACATATGAAAATACAGTTAAGCCTATTTAAATACAGGGTGTAAAATTTAGCATAAGTGCACATAAAAACATAGCTATTATATACTAACTCGTTAAATATCAATACAAGATTATATTAAGTAATACAAAAAGATAGAACTTAAAATTTAACACATTTTGAAACAAAACCCGGTATGAAAATCACTAAAATTTGAAGAGTTATGGATTTTTGAAAACAATTGTCTAATCTCTGGACTTAGAAAATTCGCATCGAGAGAAGCAAAAAGTTAAGCCTACCTCGGTGCCACGTGTTTGGCCGGCGGGAACCGTAGGGAAGGAAGGCGAGGTAGGGGTAAGTGAACAGAAGTCCGCTGAAATTGCAGCAGCCTATAATCCTTTGTTATTGCACTAAAACACTTATATCTCCGTAAAAAATGGTCACACACACATAAACAAAGTATCCACGCATGTAGCAGATATTCATACATACTTTAAAACCAACGGCGCACTTTCGGCGGCAGAATTTCCAATAGAAAATCTCGAAAAAACAGGAGCGAAACGACACACGTCTGATCTCTCAAACATATATCTCCGACTTATGGTTCATAAATAAGGGAATTTTCCCCAAGGTAACACTTATAAGGCGTTTCTTCCGCCTTCTTAGCGTGCCTTCGCGGTGTAATGGTCAGCACGCTCGGCGCGTAGTCGAGAGGTCCGTGGTTGGAGTCCCGGCAAGAGCATTGCTAATTTTTAATTTCTCCTGCTTTAAAAAATACATAATGTCTCTGCACACTTATATGCAGTATTCCATGTCGAATCGTGGACGCAGGCAGTGGCATTCATGTAACAGAGCTCTAATGCTGTGTTAATGTCAGATATCTCCTGTCATTGTCCCATTTTGTGGTTTTACTGCTGAATTTCGATATGTCCGGTTCTCTTTACTGCTCCAAAGCCATATCACTGTCATGGAATTATTTCAAGTATGATCAACAATATTGTGACATGAAAAGTTTTCACCACTGAGACCGATAATTCTTTCTCAATGAAATTTTACTCTGATTATACGGTACTCTTCGACTTCAAGGAAGTAGTAATGACCTCTACAAGTCAATTTCCAATTCAGTGATGATAATCCACTATATGACCATTTTTATACATCTAATACTACGTTTCAGAGGACTAAAATAAACCAAACGTTTGTTTTATAGGATTTATTCCATTCATTTTCATGCAAAGTTTATTTATTTATTTCCAGAATAAGACTATGTAATTATATTTTTTGTTTAATATCATCTTAAAATTCTTTTTAACGATATTACAATGGGATTACACATTAACATTAACATTATTTCACTCAGCTTATGTAATTTTGCTGATTTAATATATTAAGTCTGCCTTGAAGTTTGCAAAGAAGCAATGAAATGCAAAAGAAACACTTCCCATCTCACTGAATATTTCTGTTAAAATTAGCTTCTTCTATTTTGAATGAGAATGCAAGTACTTTTCGTACCATTTTCTCATTTTGAGCAGTTTTTTTTTTTTGACATTTTGTTACTTGTGTTATGCTTCAGAATGCTACTAATATTTAAAATTGTTTTTGATCTTCAGTGCATTCTTTACATTCATATGATAAGTTGATAACACAAGACATAATCACATTAATAAGAAATACCAATATCATTGTATCGATCCTTAAGCTCGACAGTATACTTACGTATCGTACTCTAATCCTAATTCTAGTTCTCCACAATGATGGGGTGATTCGAGAGCATCTGCTGCTACTGATGAATTAGATGTGATACTATCACAGGAAATGGCTCTTTTCAGAGTGGGTGTATTCGATTTTTCAAAAACTGTGAACAATAATGAAAATATGAATTTAGTATTCAACGCTAACAATTTAATTCGAAATAACTTACTAGTATAAAATGAGATATTCTACGGCAAATTTAGAGCATATTTCTAAATTTTCTAAACATTCTAAAAACATTCCTTCACTGCTTTTATTTTCGAAACCGTTGGTCGTAAACTTTGCATTTCCAATTATAAAAATGTTTTAAAGTAGTAAATTCATGTCTTGGGATTAGCAAATCTAAAAACCCAATTCTGTAGTGATTGCAAAATCTAATCTTTTATAGGGTCCCTTTATCAACTTATTATATTTATCAAAGTTTATATTCATTTTAAAAATAAGACAAAAAGTATGATTTCCGTACCACAAAAATTCAAAACATTTACCGAGATATTTAATTTTAAAATATGAGATCATATTTTCAGAGAAGTCAGGGGTCTTTTATAAATTGAGAAGTGAAATATTTAAATTTTCATATAACTAAAAATGAAATATCAATTTGAGAAAAATTTTTTAATGTTAATACGTTGCCGCTGAACACTGGTAGTTCGGTCTGAGATTCGAATCCCGGCGAACGGGCTGGCTGCATGGGCATTTTCGTGGTTTTCCCCATGTGTAACGTGGATACGAGTCAGTTTCCCTTAAAAAGGCCTCCACGGGGCATCCCTCCCTTTCCGTGTAGTGCCTAAGGGCGGAGCACGTAATAAGTAAAAAAATGTTAATGCGTTAAGTGATGAGCACAAATACGGCAGTTTTTTAAAAAATGGTGTCTTGTTTACCGAAACTTATAGAATTCGTGTTCCAGTAAACAGTAGTAAGCTTCAAGTATTGGCGCGTAACCAATTCGTAATATTATTTGCTTAAATTAAAAATGAAGAAAATTTCTAGTCTAACAAATTTTTAGCGTATGAATTTTAGATTAAGGTAGCAAAGTAGGTAATAAATAATATAATTCTATTCGAATATTATTTACATATTTTTAGCATTTGAAAACTTATAAATTATTTGTGTGAAAATTCGTTCAGCGTTATAACCTAACAAAATTCTAAATTAAAGAAAGTTACGTACTAGAAAATCGCAAAGGAGAATCAGTGAACGACATTAAATACGGAAAAAAATAAAGAATAAACCTCTGAATATCCCTTTCAAATTTAGTTTTTAACCAGACTCTCAAGGAAAGAAATAACAAGTAGTTAATTAATTACCACAATTTTTCTCGTACGACAGCCAAAATATTGTGGCCAGATCACTAGACCTAACTTAGTGTGATTTCCTTATCTAAGGTCACATTAAAGACCCTATATTTGTGTTACCTTTATCCTGAATTTTATTAAAATTAAAATAACGAACTACAATGATTATCACGTATGTAGACCACACAATGGGAAATCAAGCGAGGGTGAATCGAATTAAGATATAAAAGAAGGAGCCTTTAATGTGATCGACGTTAATGTTATCATACGGATATTGTAATCGAATTGTCGAAATCCCGTCCATTTGTATGCAGAAGGCTAGAAACTACATCGTTTGTTGTGATCAATAAGTCTGTTACTATTACCAGAATATCATAGATTTATTTTATTAAACTGAAATAGTTGCCAAATGGATAAAATTGGCCTATAAGGTCAAAATAGAGTATATAAATTGCCAAAAGACAGAAACATGCCGATAAATAAAGGATTGCGTCGCCATGCAACTTGATTTTGATTTAAGGCAATCATGTATATAAGAATTAATTTTCCAGATTTTAGGAAGATCGACTAGACTTAACAGAATTAGCAAACAACGAGGTGCTTTCTGGAAGATTTTGCTTTTTCGCTCGTTTAAAGCTTACCAGAACTGAGTCAGCGGGTAAGCTGCTCTTAAATGAAATATTTCTCCAATTCCCATATACAAATGCTGAAATGAGGATGCCGTATGCGTATCAAAAGTAGGCGTACAAAGTAAAATAACTTCCAGAAATTTTATGAATATGATCAGCTCATAAATGACTTTTCAAACAGCAATTGCAGACAATCAACTATTGATTACTCATTTCTTAATTAAAAGAAATGAGTAATTAGTAGTAAAAGTAAGTATTGATATATATCTCAAGTATTAGCTGTGAAAGTAAGTATTGATATACTTATTGTTATATATGAATTAAATTCTTTAAATTACATAGACATTTTTTAGAATATTTTTTTCATAGTTTAAAACAGTTCTGGAAAATACCGACCACATAAAGCGGCGCTTACTGTATAATTGATTCTATACGAACTCTTGTAAGGAAGTCAAAACTGTGCGTAAAATAAAGAAGTTGCAAATATGAATATTAAAGAAATGACCATAAATTACTTGTAATCGACTCCGTAGTTAGTATAAAGGCTTCGTAAATTGGAGATTCCTGAAAATGTGAATCCGCTGAAGATATTTTCCATACCACGAAAGGTGAATACATCAAAAAATTTTTAAACACTTTGAATATTTCTTCTTCTGTTACCTTCTGTTATATCATGGTAACTATAAGACCATACTGCAATGCACTGGCTCACTAAAAATGCTGGAGAATAACCCCCTACATTACACTCTCTTTTTTTGGTTTATCAAATTTGGTTATAAAATCACTCGCTTGATTTTGGGTTTTCTTTTTTTTTTTTTTTTTTTTTTTTTTTTTTTTTTTTTTATAAAATTTTCGACTTTTTTAAGGCAAAATTAGGATTAGAAAAATGGCTAATGTTAATTAGTTTATTAATGAAATATTAGCCCTGAAAAGTATTGTAGAACAACATACTTTGAATAGAAAGCAACGAATATTTAAAAGAATTTAATGGAATCTTTCCTAGATTCTGTAAATCATAAAAGTGGAGATTAATTTCTGATCATCTAATGCAAAAAATGTGGACCCTTATATAGTAATAGTTTTCGAATAGTAATTTTAGACTTTGATTGAGAAACTAGGGACAAATTCTCATCAATAAATTTCGAATGATAGATTTTAATTATACATTGAAGGTATTAAATATTGTCTTACAGTATAAAAATGCCATACTCACATAATATTTCTTCTTGATCCCGTTCTTCAGGAAGATCTTTTTGTGGCGCAGCTCCATTGGGCTTCGTAGGTGAAGGCGTAGAAATGATGTGATTCGAAGTCTCCTTGCTTTCCACAGTAGTGACCAATTTCAAGTCATTGCCCACATTGTCGTAATGTTTATAATTGCCGCTCAAGTCAAGTGCAATATCCGATTCAGAGCTCAACTTAGAAAGAAAAAAGAGAAACCAACCAGTACTTGATAACTACACCTTGTACGTAATTAAATGGTGATAATTATTAACAAATGAGGACCGCATATTTATTCTTTCTTTTATAACTTATAATAGAGAGATTAGGGTCGATGAAGAAGTTATTACACTGTCCGGGGTCTTGGAGTAATATTAAAATTTCTCTAAATTATCGCATGATTTTAGAATAATTCAAAAGTTGAGAAGTGATGATTTTTTTTAAAACAAAAGTTGCGTTTTTATTTTGAAGAAACGACAAAAATAAGATACAATATAAGTGAAACATTTGAACAAGATAAATGCTTATACAAATTCAATTAAAAATTTAAAAATATCGCTTTCTTGTTAGTAAATAATTTTATGTTGAATGATGTTTAAAATATAGATCTAACATGATGAATAATTTTTGAAAGGTTGCAGCTAGCACGTCAAAATTTACGTGGTTTCAAAGAAAACGCAAGAGAGAAGCTGGTAGCCTTTTTGTCCTATGCTGCGCATTGTCCTTTCAAGGGTATTGTATATTCGAAATTCAAATGAATGCGTACAACAGAATCCTTTACTCGCATAATAACAATTTAAGGGTGCCTAACTTCCTCATTACGTCTGCTCTGCTCACCCTATGAAACGTAGAAGTTTTCTATGAAGCTTACAGAATATGTTATCACCTTTGCTAAATCCTGACTCGTCACATAACATAAACGATAAAATGTAAAAATCAACTTTATTTTCTCACAGTTGACTTTATTTTATCATTTTAAAATAATGCAACACAAAATTAGAGTCCTCTTGACACAGCGGCTAGCTGAAACTTAACAGTTTCTTAAACAGATTTTCACTCCCCTTTAATCTACGCGAAGCTAAATTGAGTCGGACTGACAGAGCTCAAACAATTCACAACCCTAACCACCAGTGCCAAAGTTCGGTGTTCACGTCGCTTCTGATCAGCGGCATTTTTTTGATAAGCAAATAACCTGCGGCAACAATAGCCGAGTCACTATTACCAATAATATTGATTTATTCTTTTTCTTCTCATTTCAGCCTATGCCATATGCCTTATCATTTGCATAAGCCCCTGGAAATAGCGAGATTATAACGAAACGGGGCATGACGAAAGACATTGACATAAGTTTAACCGTTAGTCAAATTAAAGGAAATGTCACAGAATGAAACTTCGTAACACGGAAATGTTTTGGAAATCTTTAGGATAACATATTTCGAAAATTTATTAATTAATAAATATACTTTTCTACTAAATTTTACAAATTAAATAATGTAAAGCTGGAGTATTTGTCAGACGATTTTAGTTTATTAAATAAATTAAATAGAAACTTAATAGAAACACTATTCTTATTTTCAAAATCTTCGACAAAATTGAAGAAAGAATAAAAAAAACTGATGTGTAAACAAATCGCAGTGCCTTAAAACTTATTATTGACAATAATCGAATTCTTAATAATCTGTAGAGATAGAGTGTGCTCTACATTGATAATAATTTTAATATGCATTTAAAAAACTGTGGATTCGTTTTCCTCAAATCAGAAAATGCCTGGATAAGATAACCTTCCATTGGCAAAACGTTAATGAAATCTAAACCTCAACTTCTTCAGAACTATATAAAATTAGGAATTATCATACGGTAGTTCCACGAAATTAAATTTCAAACAGATTAACCTACCTGACTTTTTTTATTCTTGAGGAATAGAAATACAGTCCTGGCAAGAAAAGCAATAAAATAATTACGTCATTAGCGAACAGCGCTTTACTTCTGCAAAAAGCATTTTCCAATCTTGCATTAAACACCAAATTATTAGATGTTCAAACTTAAACAAGTTCCTACTTATTTCAAATAGTGAAGTAGACATTTCATATTTAGCGGCAAAGGAAAAGCGTAATTCTTCCCACAGGAAACAACAATAAATACAGGGTATCCACAAAAGCTCTTGAACAACTAAATTTAAAAACTTGTTGTTTGGGAATGAAACACCTTACACCTTTGCTGCTGGTCACACTATCACAAGCAAGGTTCAAAGTTTTTGTGACAAATAACGCAAATTACACGACCACGTTAGGCGCACCATTGGTTGCGTGCAAAATATCAAGCCGTTATTCCAGTTCTGTCCCTGTACGGTGCAAAACGGCGTGATCAATGATCGCAATTACTTACTCTAAAAATGTTGCAAATATAACGTTTTTATAAAAAAAAAGTTAAATTTTGCAACGTTTATTGCATTAGAGATTGTAAAAATTCATAAAAAAATTGTACACATGACACATATGGTAATATTTTCTTACCTTGTATTAAGCATAAGAACAAAGTTTTAGGATTTGGATTTGTTAAGGATTTGGAAAATGCCTCGAGGATCCCCGAATTTGTAATATATAAGAAGAACTACAGATTCATTTTATATTAAATTACTAAAGTATAACACAGAGGAATGAAAAAAGATCTAAATAAAATCCCTTTGCGCTCTGGTAGTAATTGCATGTCCTTTTTGTGATGAAGAAGTCTAAAGAAGGACTCAGGTACTCTGATGTAGCTCAAATGAAGTATTGAATGCACTATTAAACCCCAACATTACATTTAGTACTCAAATGAAACACGAAATGTAATGTTAACTTTTCAACACGTGCAAGAGAACTTTTTCAGAGAACGTTCAACGCAAGCATTTCACAAATGTGCCGGGAACGTTCAGGCTGAATGTTCTAAATCATGTCTCTGTTCAGTTCTAAAACATAACAATAATATGTCAAATGGTAATGTTTTCAATATTTCCATGTAAGGTGCCAAATCCAGTGATGTTTTAATATCACTGGCATGTTCTAGTAGATCAATTCTGTATATATCTAGAACCACGTCTGTAGAACTTTGTAAAGGATAACAGCCCTTAAAATATCCGCACTATTAAATTTTTTATATAAAGTTGTTGTTAAAAAGTTCTTCGTAAGATTTCCAAACAAAAGCAAAATTAATTCTAAAAATTATGTATCTATTAACGAAGTTCAATGAATAAGAAGTGTCTCTTCACGATAAAGTTTCAACAATAAGTTGTAATAACATTGCTTCATAACGCAATGCAAAACGTTTTGCACATAAATAACATAATCAAAATTTAGTCACTATGGGAAACAACACAATAGTCGAATTTATTATATGCATAACTTGTACTTTTTACAAGCCGACCTAAAATGTAGAGGATAGTTCCAGTATTACTTTATGTGGAAAGACACGCGCTATTAACACGATTGTAATAAACCGTACCACTTCAGCACCTCTTGCAAAATGCTCTGAAGCCATTTACTATCGATTGAAAATGAATGACCCACACTTTGAACGTTCTGTAAATGTTCCGATGATGCTTGCGTTAATATTACATTCTTACATACTGTAACTATGATACTTACAATGTATCCATTGGCTCCAAAATGTCCATTTTTTGTTAATTGAGCCGTTTCTTCTCGATCGCCTTTAACCCAGGAGTTGATACGAGCCCATCCTCCCAAAAGCTTCCAAAGAGCAACGATTATGAAGACCAGCCCGACAAAGACTCCTGTAAGTGTCAGCACAAGAATCCACACCTGCATCTCGGCATTGGTATAAGCTGTACAACAAGAAATATAGTTATTAAATTGAGTAAAAATACTATTATAAACCACACAAACGGGGGGGGGACATTATAATGCTCATCTACTCATTTCAAATAAAAAATTAAATTAAAACTCTTTTTCCGTTCTGGTATGTTCAAGAAATTTAAAAATTTGTTGTTAGAATTTCTTATATATTTATAAAACGATTTGTGGATGTTTGTTTTGTAATTATTAAAATTTGTACAAACGCTAGAATTTAACAGAGGCTCCTAACTTTAAAGGGGAATTTTCATAGTCCTTCTTGTAATTGAAGTTCAACGTATTTATAACTTAATGGACAGATATGCACAAGTTTGAACTCGTCAGAAATATAACTAGTTTCTTTCCCCTGCTAGTTTTAATCAACGTTTTGGAAAAACAGATTCACAAAATATTGTGCAGCCAATTATTATTAGATTTTTGGGTAATGAAGGCGTTAACCCGTCTCATATTTATTCGATAATTAAACACTTGCGTTAATAAATATTAAAAAAACTGTGTTCTTGAACAACTTTAATTGCTTGTTATTTGTTATTCGGCCTGATGTCATGTTTTGTCATGCTAATGACAGGAATATTGTGTATATTCCGATGGATGTTAATTCGTAGATGATTAAGTCAAAAATTTTTTACATTTCAAACACAATTCCCCTAACAGCGTTTTCTGTGTATCTTTTGAACATAGAAATACAGGGTGTTCACAAAATCCTTGAACAGCTTTAATAGCTTGTTGTTTGAGAATGGAATAACTTATACTTTTGGTATTGAACACACTTTCATAAGCAAGGTTAATAGTTTTTGTTACAGCCGATAGTTATACAAAGTAGCGGGCGTGGGGCAAAATCAACTGACCTGCGGTAAAAATATGGTTTTCTAGCTCTCCGCAACAGTGAACCCTCGACATTAACAACATTGTCTCTGGTTGACAGTCCTCCGACTGTGGGCAAAGGTAATTAATCAATATATCGAGGTAAACTTCGGCTATGGAATGATAACGGTCCTAAATTCTTATCATGCAGCATTCCACACTAGACTTTCGCTTTCGGGCTGCCCCGTTTCAACTTCCTTAGGACATGTGGAGTTTACGGATCCCCAAATCCTTACATTGTACGTGTATTAAACTAAAACAAACTGCTGGGAGTAAACTTTAATGTATATGTAATAACACTACAAAAGTTCAGAGTTACCTTTTACAAAGTGCTCACAGTAATACGTCAAGAGTCCTTGTGAAGAATCTATATTTGTTTTGTATTTATGTACGTAACTATTTTAGTACGTTATAACATTAGAAGTTGTAAATAGTCATGCGTATGTGTAAAAACCTTTATTTTATAAAGTAGAATTTATTTCTTTGTTTAACTGAATACGGAAAAACACAATAATGATATTTGTCTAAAAGATAACTTCATGGAGGATTTTGAAAAGAAACTGGCTAAGTTCATTCAATGTACACTCTTATCTAACTATGATTGTACATCAAGCTTATGTATTTGGTCATTGTGAGCTTTGTAGAATTAAAGATAATTCGTAATTTGCAGAAATTTGGCGAAATATTAATATTCTGGAGACATTTTGAACTTATTAAAAACTGCGAGTTCCAGCACTTAGCAGTCCATAGGATGTGATGCTGAAATATTCAGGAATTCTTTCTTTCTTTTTTTAGTTTCTGTAAAAAAAATGCGTCTGTTGAAATTTAATCAAGATTTCAAATTAGTATTAATATGTGTGTGTGCAGATGTTCGAAAATTACGAGTTTTATTTCCTTAAATACTTACGAGTTTATTTCTTTAAATATTTATTTAAAAATTTAAAGGTCCTTGATTAGGTTTGGATTGGAATGCAGAAGGATTATCAGTTTTGTCAAGAACTGCAGTCAAACATTTGTTCCCTTTCGCCGCAAATTAAACACATGAAACTGGATTTTTTTCTTTGCTTTAGAATATGCTTTCTTTAGAATGTATTTTCTTTGCTTTCTGTTGCTTTAGAATGTGCAGATACAAGCTTGCTTGTTATTGAAGATGACTTGCTATTGTGTCTTAGTGCGATGACTGCAAGCATTGATGAGACTGCAAGCATTGATGACTGCAAGCATTGATGAAAAATTTTAAATTAGAAAACTTTGTTTTGTATTCGCACTAAGCAATTAAACTAGCACAACCATCTCGCTGATTATCCAATATAAGTAAGTTATCATTTTATCCAACAAGTTTATAATTTTAACAGATTTGAAATCTGTTATGCGATTTTAAGTCTTTATCGATAAAAAAGGCATTCCTCGCTTTATGCAGTTTCGCTTACCACCCACATCGATATAAGAACTGCGCTGTTGGCTGCCATTTCTTTGAGCCTAAGCTCGAATCGAGGAGAAGGCAAGATGTTTGTGTATGTTTAGTATCTTTGCGGAATTAGGGTATTTAAAAATTTTGCCAAAACTTTCACAGTCTGATAATTTAAAACTCCCTAAAAAAGTTTAGTGATAGGATTTCGTCCCCTGAGTTGTTCTAAATTAAACTTGGGACGGAGCTCAGCAAAGTCTTTTGTCGCTTATAAGGTGTCCACGGTCAATAACAGACGCTACGTTTCCACTTCTTGATGAGATAAATTTCGTGGACATTGACCTGGAATCAGAAACAGATCAGAAGGATTAGAGACTTTTTATAATAATGGAGTTTTTCACTCTTATCAAAGACCTACAGCCAGTGCCGAAACAAGGATGAAGCAAGTAGGCACTTGCCTCAAGAGAACAATAGAAGGGCCTCATATTCGCTACAAAAATTTAGAAATTTATTTTTAAGAAAGAAATCACAGTTACTAAATTGTCTCTGGACATTGGAATACATTGAAAGGCATCAAACGAATTTTATATTATGAAAAAATTCAGCGAAACCAAGAGAAGAACTAATAAAATTAATTCTTTTTCAAAACTGCTGACAGTACTAGAGACATTATTTTCCAACATTACAATTTATTGATGGAACTTTACTGAAGATAATTTGCGCTTGTTTTTACTAATGTAATGGCTTACATAGTCTAAACTTTCCTAGAAAGCGTCATGTTACTGACATCAGTAATTCTGTACTACCTTCATTTTAAATTGGATTGTCTTATTGCTCTTAGTACTCCGAAACAAATGAATATGGACGGCGAAGCAACTTTCCATAGTTTTTGAAACCGGCTTTTCAAACAAAAACTTATTGGAATAGCATCGGGAACCTAAATAATAATGTTTAAAAATAAAATGTATGTCATACTTTCAATATTTTGTTTCAATTTGTTTTGTGTAAAATTTACCGTTGAATAAGATGCTTAGTTGAATATTTTGTCTTTTTATTGTCATATTTAATTTGCTCAGAACTATACATTTGGTTTCATTTGCTGTTATTTCAGAAGCAGTTATACATACTGTTGCACACATTAACTGAAAAGGCACATTAGTCAGTCTCATTCTGTGAAAAGACTGCAATGTAAACATATAAGGAAAGACAATACATCTCTCGCTCTCTTTTGCTTGAGTTTTTAAATTGTTTATAATGGAACCGTAAAATGAATTGCTTAGTGCGAATACAAAACAAAGTTTTCTAATTTTAAATTTTTAGGAAAGATTTAATATAACATATTCTGGTTACTTCTAATATAACTGATATTAATATAAAAGAACACATTTTAAAAAGCTTAGCTTTGCTCTTTTCATTCTAAAGTAACCGATAGAAAGTATGTATTTAAAAAAATACGTTTGCTGCAGAAGAAATTTAATAAACACGATTTCTGAAAAAGCTGAAACCTGAAGAACAACGAACGAAACAGAAAACAACGACGCTATAAAATAATTGACTTGATGATTAGAAAAAACGGAAATGAAAAGATTAAAATAAATTAGGCCATAAATTAAACTGCAAACTTGTTTACTTGTGGGAATACAAATTAACAGAAGCACATATAATATTAGGGAAATTTAACACACTGAAAACCCGCAGAATTAATTGATGAAGCGGAGTAAAAGTAAAGAGAAAGCATAAAGCGATATCATAATGATTTTCAATGCTTATATTGAAGGATATGATGAGAACAATAACTTATAAAATTGTACCTGACAGCCGCTTTATCGGTCATATTTAAAACAGAATTAGCCAGCATATAATATTCTTCTCTAATTGTAACAAGTCTTTCTTAGAATAAAACTTCCTTCGACCGAGAAATGATATGCTTGTTTTAAAGACGACTCCTTTAATCAATCGATTATAATAAAAGATAGGGGCTACTTTCTTTAGGAAGGATGCTTTCGTGAAGAATAAACCAAAGGAACTGTCTCGCATTCAAATTGCCCATATGGGGAAAGTTCGAAATTTGCCAACCCTTTCTCCATCATTGACACTAGGACTAGCTGTCAGTGTTAGCCGCTTGGACACTAGCTACCACGAATTTTAGCGAAAGAATCCTCTAGCAATTTTAAGCTGGATAAGGATTCCAAAGATTACATCTTAAAAAACAGGATGGATCACTATTTTGGAATCAAAATATTCGTAAATTTTTAAAAGAAAAGTCTCCAAAACCGTTGGATAGGTCACTGTGGATCTGACAATAGAATATTAAACAAATAACACTGATTTCCCAAGCTTAAGCTTGTCCATGTTTTTGGAAGCGCTTCTGCGGAGAACACGTAAATGTACGCAAGTACATCCAAAGGTGTTCGACTTGATATACTCTTAAAAGAAATATAAAAATTTTATCAGTTTATTTTTAAACATGATCTCCCTGTACTTCCGGTACATTTTTCACATCGTTTAGTGACCAGCTCTTTGCTCCTGAAAATGTAATCTGAAAGGCTTGACTTCAAAACGTTCCATAACTGTTTTTTTCACGGCATCATCATCATCATCATGAAATTATAAGGATCTTATTTTAGTTTAGAGAATAGCTAATAATCACTTGAAGCTAAATCTAGGCCGTAAACGGGAATCAAGGCCCTTAAACTTACA